CAGAATATATTCCCACCATAAGTGATGCAAGACTGTCTTTATAACTTTTATACTTTTTTGTTGAACTCTTTTGTCATCATATAATGACCTTTTTTGTCTCTTGTGACTGTTTTGACTTACAGTATATTCTGGCTGATATAAGTATAGCTACCCCTGCTCTCTTCTGAATATCATTTACATGGAAATATTTCTCCACTCCTTCACTTTCAGTCTGTATGTATCCTTGAATCCAAAGTGTCTCTCTCACAGACAGCATACAGTTGGCTTTTTAAAACAACAACAAAGAAACAGGATCTCACTCTATTGCCCAGGATGAAATGTACTGGTGCAATCATAGTTGACTGCAACATCAAACTCGTGTGCTCAGCCTCCTAAGTAGCTAGGACTACAAGTATGCACCACCACGTCCAGCTAATTTTTATTTTTAATTTTTTTGGAGTCATGGCCTCACTGTTTGCCCAGGCTGGTCTCAAACTCCTGGATGCTCCTGACATCAAGCAATCTTCGTTCTTTGGCCTCCCAAAGTACTGAGATTAAAAGTATAAGTCACCATGCCAAGTCAGTTGGCTTTTTAAAAATCCATTCAGCCACCCTATTTCTTTTGATTGAGTTAAGTCCACTTACATTTAAATAACTGATGAAAAGTAAGGACTGTTCTTACCATTTTGTTAATTTATTTCTTGAGGCTTGATGATTTTTTGTGGTAGCGTAATTTCTTTTCTCTTCGTCTTTTGTGTATCTACTCTACTTTTTTTGTGGTTAGTATGGGTTCACATTAAACATTTTACAGTTGTAGAAGTCTCTTTTAAGCTGAGAACAACTTAATTTCAATCACATGCAGATACTCTACACTTTGATTCCCCACACACACTTTTATGTCATGTCAGATTTTACTTCTCTGTTCTATCTCCATTAACAAATTTCTGTGGTCATAGTTACTCTTCCACATTTGTCCTCCAATTTATATAATATTAAATTTTTCATATAATTTTCATGTCACAAAATCTTTTTTTCCCCCACAACGATTTGAAAATGTAAAAATCACTATTAGTTCACAGGCTGTGAAAAAGTAAAGATAAGCTAATTTTACCCTGCAGGCTGTAGATCCTTACATTTATGTATATACTCTTACAAACTTTGATAACAAATTTTTTTTCTAGCTGGTTAGCAGTGATTCAGAGGAAGGTTTTCTCTTTTTCAAAAACACTGTTTAAATGCAACATCTTCTGATTAATTTGTAGAAATAATGTGTTAGTATTAGAGAAGACAGATATTTGCCAGAGGATTTTTCTTGAAAAACCTTCACATAACTGGTAATGGAACTGAAAATTTAGTATAATGATTTAAAATAGGGAAAGATGTCCTTCTTCTATTAGAACAATAGACATGTGAGTTACAAACAGCATTATATTTACTTTTGAAAATGGAACTCAGACCAGACCTTCATCTGGAATATAAACTGTTGCAACAAGATTTTCTAAAATAAAGTAACATATTCAATCACATCCCTGTCACTTAGCATATATAAAACGTGTACATATAACTAACGTTTTAATGAGAATAAAGTATTTTTGTACCAGAATAAAAATTTTAAGCATTATGTCTTATCTTTTAAAACTTGTATTTATATGTTAACACATTAGTATGTCCATTAGCAAGTGTGTATAATTTATAAATATGTATATTGTTCATATAGAACACTGCCTATATGCACCTAGCACATAGGGATCTCTCAATAAATATTAGGTATCTTCATCATAATGGAGGTACATGCTCAAATTTTTCTTGTACTGATCAAGTAGAGGATCAAAAAGTTTGTTATCTATTGATTTAGCTAACAAATGATGGTGGCTTGGAAGGTGATTTGCTCTTTGTCCTAGAGGTAGCATCAAAAGACTTAACTGATCATTTGAGCATGAAATGAAGAAATAAGAGGCCTCAGTGATGACTTCTTTTCTGTGGTTTGAGACAAATAGAAATGCCACTTACGATTTTCACAGTAGGTAAAGCAAGAATCATGAATATGATTACCTGCAATGCTCATTAGCCTCTCTATGCCTCACTTTTCTTCTCAGATAAAATGATAATAATCTGCCCTCTATGCATCATAGTATTGCTGAGAGAGAACTAGACTTATCATAAACACTTACTAAACCGACTTATAAAACATCAACATCTTAAGACTTTATTCTCCATGTGAGATGTAGACTGCTTTGTAAAGTATTCAACGGATTTAATTTTATATTATCTGAAAATTGGAGGTGTTAGAAGAAAAACATAACTTTTGAGGTTAAGTATTTGATACTTTTAAAACTCAACATTATTACATACAAAGTGTAATTATAAACATTAGGATAATAAACTCCTAATTCGAATATACATGTCAGGCTTACCAAAAGTGTGTATATTGTTTATTCAGAATAATCTTCAAATATTAAAAAGTTATGCACACATACACAAACACATATGAAGTGCAAAAATAAAAGATCTTTTCATAAGACAATAGTAAACAGATGATGAAGGCACAATTAAGATCAAAGAAAAATTTTAGCACCTTTTTCACAATTCATAATTGGTTCAAATACAATTTTCTTCATTACCAAAATCATCTCTAATCAATGTACTCTGATTTCCAGAAAGTAGCCACAGTGTCAATACTAATTCAATGGCCACCGCTGGGTTAGAAAAGGTTAGGGACTCCAAACTGTATTTTTTTAGATATGCTATTTCACTAACTGCACAAACTACATTTCTGGCCCTTCACATCCTGCTACTAACAAGTAGAAGTTTCCTTCTGTTTTTTCTCCTTCTATTTCATGTAACTGAACATACATACATGTACAGATGGGTAAAATTAAGCAGGGCTAAAATTAAATGCAAGTAGTCAGGAAATCAAAATTAACATAAATAGCTTAATATATTTGCTTTCTTACCTAGTATCCATATATCACTACAAAATTTTCTTCCATTCGGACAATACTGGAAGAAAAATCTTATGTTTCTGTATAACCCTCTATATACAGAAATGTAACAAGTCACATAGCTTCTATTCTATCTCTTTAACTTTCCATTCTTCCTATCCTTAAATTCATTTTCCTCTCATATCTGATGACTAGCTAGCTAAGGAAATAAACGAATTAGTTTTAAAATGTTCATGAAAGAAAATGACCCCAAAAAGACAGAAAAGAAGGCAAAGAGGTATGGAGCAGAGAAGGCACGAAAGGTCCTACATGTCAAAAGACATTCAGTGCAATGTTACTTGTAATGATAAAAGTTGTGGAACAGGCACCTGGTAGATTATGACTATCATTACAATTAGCGATGGTGTAGTAACATTGAAAATGTTATTTAAAAAAACACAAATATTAAATTACAGCTATGTAAGAATATATATATTCCTGAGACTGAAATAGATTATGAATAAATAACAAAAGGTAATGGAATTTCACAAGTTTATTATAATAAAAGTTTTAAGAACAAATCTTTAAGAAAAAAATATATATATTGTTAAGTGATAATGGCATTAGCCATTCCAGTAACACATCAATGTTTTGTTAAGGAACTTCTAAAGACTCAGGTCTTAACCCAAAGGAGACACTTTACGGCAACAGTCCTTACCATGGAAGTATTACCCTCACCTCACCCCCCAGAGATATCTGTAAGCTGTCAAAATGATTAGGGAGTATTACTAGCACTTTTTGAGCAAAGCCTATTGTGATAGTTAATTGTGTATGTCAATTCAGTCAATTGAATCACAAGGTGCTCAAATCTGAATCACAAGGTGCTCAAATACGTACTCAAATATTATCCTGAATGTCTCTGGGTAAGAACAACATTTACATTGGTAGACTGAATAAAGTAGACTGCCCTCTAGAATGTGGGTGACCCTCATCCAATCAGTTGATGGCCTGAACAGAACAAAAAAGAGTGACCCTCCCCCAAGGAAGAGTTTTTTTTCTGCTTTCAGAGTCAAACTGAAACTTTTGCTCTTCTGAATTCTCACGCTTTCAAAGTCGGACTGGAGGTGCACCATCAGCCCTTCTGGGCCTCCAGTTTGCTGACTCCCACTGCAGTTCCCTGAGACTGGCTAGCCTCCATAACAGCAAGAGCCAACTCCCTATAATAATGAGTGCCTCTGTCTCTCTCTCTCCTTCTCTGTATCTCTCTACATATGTATACATATAGGCTCTGTTTTATACCAAGGACACTAAACATCCTACAATGTCAGTGGCACCTCTATGGAGAAATACTGCTCCAGTTAGGCAGAAATTTTAGTCCTGGTGGCAGGCTGGATATAAAAAGTATGCCTTCTTGCCGGGCGCGGTGGCTCAAGCCTGTAATCCCAGCACTTTGGGAGGCTGAGGCGGGTGGATCACGAGGTCGAGAGATCGAGACCATCCTGGTCAACATGGTGAAACCCCGTCTCTACTAAAAGATACAAAAAATTAGCTGGGCATGGTGGCACGTGCCTGTAATCCCAGCTACTCAGGAGGCTGAGGCAGGAGAATTGCCTGAGCCCAGGAGGCGGAGGTTGCGGTGAGCCGAGATCGCGCCATTGCACTCCAGCCTGGGTAACAAGAGCGAAACTCCGTCTCAAAAAAAAAAAAAAAAAAAAAAAGTATGCCTTCTTACAAGAAGATGTGCCTTCTAATATTTCTCCAATCATCCCATATAAGATGACTATCTCTAAGAGTTTGCCCTCTTAGTTGTACAGTCTTATGTAGTTAATCTAAAGTAGCCTGTAAATATTTGGTAAAATATAAATCAATACTAAAATTTACCTTTTTTCTTTGCACACATACATTTTTTAACAATCGGATACTGGTAGCCCATAGTTGTTTTGTAAACTCTACATTGCTTAAAGATTTTCTCTTTTGCTTAGAAGACTTATAAATATGTATGAAGCTAAGCAAATCTTTTTCAAGATTCCCTCAAAAAAACAATTTGTCAATATATAAAAGTCAAGATGTTGCTGTTGGCCAAGATGTAAATAGACCAACCTCAAATAGACTAGCTGTGAGTTCTTCCAATTCCTGTCCAAGTTGATCTCGCACTTTTGAAAGCCTCTCACATTCTTCATCTTTTAACTTCAGTTCCTAAGAGAAATTAACAATTTTATTTTGGATCTCCATAGTTTCAAGTTAGGTTCAGCAGACTATACAATCTTTACTAATAAAACTATTAAATATGAATACTGTTGCTTCCTACAATGTTCACATTGAAAATATTTATCTAGCACCTACTATGTGAAAGACAATCAGGCAAGTCCAAAATTACAGAAAATCCCAACTAACAAATTAAATTTTCACATTTCTTTCATAAAATATCCAAAAATTAAAAATAAATATATATGACAGTTGAAAATAAACAAAATGACTTAATTGTTTTAAAATTGTTCATGAAAGAAAATGACCCCCAAAAATATGTATTTTGCTATATTTATTTCCATCAAGCAAGAAATTTAATTATGCATATTAATTTCAATAAAAACTCACTTGTTTTCATGTTTACTTTAAAAGCTATTTATTTATAGGTAACTTCATGTACCATACTGCAATTAATCTAAAATATCTATTAGGAGACTATACCCATTAAACAATATAACCAGATATAAAAGATGCATATTTGCATTTAAAATCAAGAAAAATGTTAAAGAAAATCACATTCTATATTTATATTCAACTCCTCACCAGGTCACATATAGATGATTTAAATTCCTTTATTCCGGTATTAAAAATAGGCAATTATGTAGGATGTAAAGTAGCCTTTAACTAACCTTTCAAAAACAGGGAGAAAAAAAAAAATCTAAGTTCCTTACATATTAGTCACAATTAAATTAATAAAACAACAAGTAAGTGGTGTTATAATTGTAGTGGCAGTATAGTCTTTTAATCCCCCAAAGATAACTCCTAAACACCAGATATACCAAGAAGGATATGAGACAATCTTAATGAAACTAGGTAAAAGAAAATCCCCATAATTCTCAGAATATTAAGAGAATGTGGATAAACTACTCACAATGCATGATCAGTAGCTACACAAAAGCAGCAGGAAATTAAAGCTACAATAGAGGTACCCTACCAAGCAACAAAACCCAAAAATCACTAATAAATATTCCAAAAGCACAGGACTCTATCCTTGGAGAAAACTGGGAGAGCAAATCTAAGAATAAAAGGAAAGAAAGGAAGAGGTTTTCACAGGCTCCAAGTTGCAGGTGAGTGTAAAAACCTGTATAGCCAGTCCTACAGGCAACAAAGAGTGCTACGAAGCTCTAAACTCTCAAGCACCTTAGGAGTATGTAACAAAGAGCCCTCACCAAAAGGACACGGTCTCACCCTAATGATAAAAAACTCTGAAATCTCAAACAAAACTGTAGGGCAATGAAGACAGGGAGAAAGAAGGATCAGATACAAAGTGGGAAGGGACTAGCAAAGTTCCAAAGGAAACAGTTCAGAGAAAATACCATAAAGAGAAAATTAAGTGTCTTATGATGGGATACTTAACATGTAAAGCTCTCAGAAACAGTGTGCTATAAGAGAAAAACCCTTTTGACCAAGGCTTACCTAAGAGACAAAAGGTCTACACACACACTCCATTAACAACAGAAAAGACAGACTTTGAAATGTAAACTGACAGAGCTATCCTGATTTATTCTTTTACAGGAACCTCTTCCTAATAGTCCAGGGAATCCACATCATTTAAACACAGGAAACAAAAACATGTAAAGTTATCACAATAATAAAGTTAAATACAAAGACAAGTCACCTACCAGGGAAAGAAAATAAGATTGGTACTAAATTTCAACAGCAACATTTATATTAGAAAACAATGAAGTAACATTTTTAAGATACTCAAAGGAAAAAATGTGAGCTGAGTATTTTGCTTTTGAGACGGAGTCCCACTCTGTTACCCAGTCTAGAGTGCAGCAACACAATCTTGGCTGACTGCAAACTCTGCCTCCTGGGTTCAAGTCTCCTGCCTCAGTCTCCTGAGTAGCTGGGACTATAGGCACACGCCACCATGTCTCGCTAATTTTTTGTATTTTTAGTAGAGACGGGGTTTTGTCATTTTGAGCAGGTTGGTCTCAAACTCCTGACCTCCCACCTCAGACTCCCAAAGTGCTGGGATTACAGGTGTGAGTACAGGGATTACACCATGCCCAGCCGATCTGAGTATTTTATATCTAGCCAAGTGTCCTTCAAGTGTATGACCACAAAGTCATACCTTCAAGAACTTAGAAAATCTCTCTCTTAAGAGCTTGCCTGTGTGGACCAGAGAATTTTCAGATTGAAAAAAAAAAAAAAAAACTGGAGAAGCTGTAACATGATGATGGACTGGGGTAAGAAGAAAATACATCTAACTTTAGAACTACAACTAAAAGATGGTAGTATCAAGAGAATGAGAAGACAAGACACAAATTGAGAAAAACTATTTGCAAATGGCATAAGTGACAAGTGACTGTTACCCAAAATATACAAATAACATTTAAAACTCAACAGTGAGAAAAAAAACCACCCAATTAAAAACTGGGCAAATGACCACAACAGACAATTCACCAGAGAAGACAGATACACAGATGACAAATACTATGAAAAGATGATCAATATCATATCTCACTAAGGAACTACAAATTAAAACAATGAGATACGTACATAAATATTAGAATGGCCAAAACTCAGAACACAAATTAGTGGCGTTGTAAATGTGGTGGCAGTATAGTTTTGTAATCCCCCAAAGGGGGATTAAAACTGGTAATACCAAATGCTAGAGAGAATGTAAACCAAAAGGAACTTTAATTTATTGCTAGTGAAAATGCAACATGGTAAGGCTACTTTGGAAAATAGTATGGCAATTTCTTACAAAGCTAACCATACTCTTACCATGGGATCCAGCAATCATACTGTTTGGTATTTGCCTAAATTACTCAAAAACATGTCCACACAGAAACCTGCAAACATACATTCATAGCAGCTTTATTCATTCATAATTGCTCAAACTTAGAAGCAACCAAGATGGCCCTCACTACTTGAATGGTTAAATACACTGTGGTACATCCAGACAGTGGAATATTATTTTGTGCTAAATGAACTATCAAGCCATGAAAAGACATAAAAGATTAAGTGCACATTACTAAGTGAAAGAAGACAATCTGAAAAGGCTACACACTATATGATTCCAACTGTATGACAATCTGGAAAAGGCAAGACTAGAGAGATGTTAAAAAGATCAGTGGTTGCCAGGGTTTATGGGGAGAAAGGGATGAGCAGGCAGAGCACAGAGGATTTTTAAGTCAGTGAAACTATTCTGTATGATAGTTTCATGGTACATTATGCATTTGTCAAAATCCACAGAATGTACACCACCAAGAGTGAACCCTAATGTAAACTATGAACTTTGGAAGACAATGTGTCAATGGAGGTTTATTAATTCTAAGAAATGTACCACTCTGGTAGGGGATGTTAATAGTAGGAATGCTGTGCATGTGTGGGGACAGTAAGTATATGGGGACTCTACTTTCAATTTTGCTGTGAACCTAAAACTGCTCTAAAAAAGCGTCAATTTTTTAAAAATGGAAATGAAACTGACAAAATGTATAAATATGATACAAGCTCAAGGGATGTAAAATTAACACATATTATTTTAAAAAAAACAAAAACAAAAAAACTACAAGAAAGATGAAACTAAGTGTACTAACTTATTATCCTAGGAAAAAAAAGAGTTAAAAATTGAAGCTCTCAAATCAACTAGGATAAACCCAAGTACATTTATGAACATAATGATTGGCATTAATACTTGTAACTAAAATGATACAAGAAAAGGAAATAAACAATTATTTAGCATTGTTTATGGAAGGAAACAAAGGTAGTATATAAAGAAGTTTTAGGATATACAAATATATATGATTAAAAATAACAAAACAAAAATCAAACCTTCTAAAATACTAACTAAAAAAAAAAAAGAAAGAGAGGTCTAGGAGGAATCAAGCACATTAGTGCCCAGGCAGGAAGTTTCATCTGCCCACTGATAGTGTTCTTGGCAGCACACCCGAAAGTTACCCTGTAAATTGGCTCCAATCCCTCTGCAACCCAGCCATCGGCCCAGCTTATTACTGTTTGCACAAGGACCCAGAGGAAGATTTATCCATATCCCACAACGCAGGAATGTGTCTGTCTGAGCCTCCTTGAAGGATCTGCCAGCCTTTGCCCCAAGCAGATCCTAAAGGATCCCACTCCCCGCTCCAGCCCCTCTCACTGCAGTCACAGAAATGTCCTACCTGTTCAGGGAGCTTCTGGGGGAAGCTTGCCTGCCTGGGCTAACCATGGTGGGTTTGCCTGTCTCTACCTCAAAGCAGTGAAGGAGCACAGACTCGGCTCCAGCCTCTCTCACTGCAGGTAGTAAATTGTCTCAGCCATGTAGGAAACTGCTGCGAAACATGCATGTGGGCCACAGGGGCAAGCTCACCAGCCTCCATCCTACAGCAGAGTGTAAGGGGACCCAGTCTCAGCTCCAGTTCCTTTTGCTGCAGTTGGGGAACTGTCCTATCTGTGCGGGGAACTGTCCTATCTGTGCAGGGAACTGCTGGGAAATACGCATCTGTCTAAGCCAATGGGACAGGATTCCAGGTTCGGGTTCCTGGCCAACTTTTTCACAGGGTACTCCCACCTTGGGTCATCATCAGGTATATCCTGGCTGGAATACCATGTCACCCTGGAAGCCCTCGTGAGACTAGTGGTAAACACGGGCTTAAGGCGCCCTCTACTGCTGAAATGGCTGCAGCACTAACAGGCTTGACAACACGCAGTCTACGCAAAGACTTGAATAAATAATTAATCTGTTAATAAGCATGTGTACATCCATATGCATTAAGAACAATCAGGGAATTATGACTTCACCAAAGAGACAAAATAAGGTGTCAGTAAATAAGGTGTTAATAACAGACCCTAAAAAGATGGAGATGTGTGATCTGTCACAATAAAAATCAAACTAGCCGTGTTAAGGAACTTAACAGTGAATGTCAAGAAAATACAGATAAACAATTCAGAAATTTATCAGAAAAATTTAACAGAGACTTGGAAATAATAATAATAAATACTTG